CTAGACGTATCCAAAAGGTTAAGACAGCTGAAGGAAACCCCCGAGCTTCCTCAGCAGACCCCCTTGGACTTGGATATGGCGTCACGACTCAGTTTACCTGTCAAAAGGAGGCAGGGTAGGGGGGCGGTGAATTTATCAGTGAAAATCTCGGACTTTCCAAAGTGGCAGTTTTCCGTGGTGGGGAAGATTAATCAGTGCCTCCTTCATCTCTCCAAATTCTGGCTGCCAGAAGGTCTGCCCATTGCGAGGATGTGCATAATAGGGTTCAGGGACACTTGAATAAAGAGATTCCCAGGCAGGTCAGTCCTGCAGCAGTGGGGTTGCTTCTTGTTTTGCTTTGTAAACGATGTTTGAAAACAGGACGTGGTTAAACATTGAAACAACCAAGAAGTACATAGAAAAGTGAGTCTCGCCTTCCTTGATTCCCCTTCTCATGAGCGCCCTTGTATATCTTTCAGGAGACTGATCTTGCCCAAAGCGCCTTCCGGAGCAGTTCAACAGACCTTTACTATTTTTTAAAGATTTGATTTTCAAGTAATCTCTACACCCAAAGTGGGGCTTGAATTCACAACCCCAACATCAAGTGTCGCATGCTCTGCTGACTGAGCCAGCCAGGCGCCAGGACAGACCTTTAAATCTCAGGTCACACTGAGCTGGGTGTTTTACATACATCGCTTAATTGCAGCTAGACGTGGCTGTGTAGTGTGCTACCCCTTTGTACAGATGAGGAAATCTAGGCCCAGAGAAAAGGGAGGGCCTGGAAAGATGCTAGGTCTGTGTGTTTGGAGATTAGACCTGCCTGTTTTTCTCCATTTCTGTCTCTTTGCCCCTTTACATGAATTACAGAGCAAACCGTTAAACCTCCAACTGCTGAAGGTGAAATACACCTTCATTCCTTCACTCATTCACTCTGCCAATATTTGTTGAGACCCTATGATGTGCCAAACTTTGTGCTAGGCAGTGGGGAGAACATGGGCCCTCAGCCCAACTCTGAGCACAGTTAATGGGACACAGTAGGCCTTAGATAACTGCGGTGTAGAAAGGAATGAATGAATGGTGAATAGGGCAGTCTTGCCTCCAGGTAGCTTAACTTCTACTCCAGGACAGAAATTTAGATACATTTTCTTGTCTTATGTGGGGAGTTGGATGTTTCTTTTCTTCTTCTTCTTTTTCTTCAATGTGGTAGTTTTGGGAATTGCTTGAATTTTGGTTGAAGACTAGAGAAACCCTCTGAAAGCAGAGGAGGTTCAGTTTTGGTACATTGTTGCCTGAAGGCCTTTCAAAATCTATTTTTTAAGTTTAAGTGGAAAAAGAAAAAAAGCTATAAGGACAGTCAAGACCATTGCCGATTTGGTACAGATTAACTTACTGGGGCATAAAATGAGGGTGCCAGGGTTTGAACCACGCACGGACTAGCTGCATGACCTTGGGTAAGTCAACCCCTCTGTGATTCAGTTTTGCCATAGGTAGTATGGGGATGGATGATAGTACCCAGCTCCTAGGTTGGTGGTTAGCCTTAAATATCAGTATATGTAAAGCGCTCAGGACGGTGGCACATAGGATACGCCATGCAATAACTATTCTTATTCTTTTCATACAAGCTAAAGATTGTAAACATTGCGGTTACTTTTAAGCACCCATCTTCACCGATTCCCTCCTCAGGGCTGCGCGCACAGGCTTCCCATTCCCGCCCACCCTCCGATACTGCGGGCTCTCCCCCTCCTCTCGCTCCGCCTCTTCTCCAAGGCCGCAGGCCCGCAGTTGCCCGATGCACGCCGGGCCTTGTAGTTCGTTCGCAGAGTGCTGTCGGCGGGGGCCTCGCGAGCGAACTGCACTTCCCAGCGTTCCTCGTGGCGGCGGCCGTAAAGCGCGGCGGTCGAACGGCCGGTTCCGGCTGAATGTCAGTGCGGAGCTGTGGGCCGGGGAGGAAGGTGGTTGGCGGTCCCCCTACCACCTCCGCCGTTGTCTCCTTCGCTTGTGTTGCCGCTGCGGGCGCCCGGCCGCTCGGCCGCTCGGGCATGAGACCGTGAGGCGGGCAACGCGTCGGGGCCGCCAACATGTTTGGCCGCTCGCGGAGCTGGGTGGGCGGGGGCCATGGCAAGTCTTCCCGCAACATCCACTCCTTGGACCACCTCAAGTGAGTGTGTTGGGGGCTGAGGGGCCCAGGCCGCGGGGCTGGACGTGGGGTTGGGGGCGCATAGCCCCGGGCTGGGGGCGCTACGAGGTGTGAGAGCGAGGTGGAGGGCGGAGAGACACCCCCGGGAGAGGCTGTACGATGGTTAAGAGCGAGGGCTCTGGAGTCAGGGCGCCTGGGTTCGAACCCTGACACCGTCGCTCCTCGCTGTGTGACCTTGGGCAAGTGGCTTAGCTTCTCAGAATCTCAGGATCCCCATTTGTAAAGTAAGGGCATAGATTTCAGTTTACGGATGCAGACTTCGTTCTTCCCGGGGGCAGCGGTGGGCACCAAGCTTCTGAGGGTGGTACTTCTTAGGCTGGACAGCTTAGGGGCCAGAGATCTGGACCTGGGAGTCAGATCGGGGTTCGAATCTAAGTGTGTGAATTTAGGCCTCAGTTTCCTCAGTTGTAAAGTGGTTATAGTGACAGCACCTACTCCCTATGGTTGTTTTGAGGGTTGGGTAAGGGAATGCTCGTAAAACTGGAAGCATGTACAAGTGCTCAATAAAGGACAATCGTTTAAATTTTTTTTCCCCTTGGGGGAGTCTAAGGAGGGAATATCAGAAGTAGAGCTCTGGGGGAGGACAGGTGGCCAACATGGTCCTGGGAAGCAGGAGTGCACAGAATGGCCTTGCAGTCAGACCTGCATTCAAATCCTGATTCTACCGCTTAATGGCTGTGTGACCTTGGCCAAATTACTTCACTTCCTTGAGCCTCTGGTTCCCCATCTGCAAATGGGGATGGTGTACACTGTTCAAGCATTCAATAATATCATGCATGGAAAGAGATTGATCTAGTGTCTCTTACACTGTAGGTGGCTAATAGTTGTAGCTGTGTTTATCAGCTAGGTAAGGCCTTCCCAGACCACCCTACCTAAAGTGCTTCCCCACTTCAGTTCCTTTCCTTCTGATCTTTCTCTTGCTTTCGTTCAATGCCTGTCTTCACTATCTGCCTTTACCCTGTTTTTTACTTCTTTTCTGTCTGCTCCTAAACTGGTACTTCCAGGAGAGCAGAGACTGTTTTGTTCTGCTCACAGCTGTATTTCCAGCATCTAGTGCTGTGCCTGGCACACAGTAGGAGCTCGGTGGCTACCGAAAGAGTGGGGAAAAAATGGGTGAATTGGGGACAGGTCCAGAGCATGCAGACAAACCTAGGATTTTGGCCGGGGGGGGGTGAGGCGATGGAAAATAGAGATTTTTGTGGAGGGAATGACTTCAGGGAGGAAAATCTAGTGGGGGGGCATTTGGGTTGGGAGTAGGCAATCCTTTGGTGGTAAGAAATAGGCTGGTTTCCAGAGGGAGCTCTGAAGATTACTAATGGGAAGGAAGAAGGTTAGAGGGGGGAGGCAGGGAGCAGTAGAAGGAAGACAGGGGCCCAGGGAAAGGATTGGTGGGAGGGAAATCAGCTGGGGCTTCTCATTTGGCCAGGGGTTGGGGTGCTGTGCTTCTCAGCTATGTCTTTTCTAGCACGGAACAGGCGTTTCATAAATGTTTGTGAGTCTCAAAGAGTTGGGGGGGGGCAGGAGGGATCAGTATGTCGTAAGGAATGGTTTTAGGGAAGTGATGAGAGGACATAGGGAGGAGAGAGGCACAGGACAGGATGGGGGTGTGTAGGGAAGTCAGGAATCTTAAATGGGACGGCAGCTGGACTGGAAAGGGAGAGGCAGAAGGATTTCAGGAATTTAGAGAGTGGGTAGATGTGGCTGAGAAGGGGAGGATGGTTATCTAAAGGACGTTGGGCCTCCAGCCAGCATCCAGGCACCTGCAGGCTTTCACCTAGCTCTGCCTGCCTCCAGCCCTTGTAAAATACTTTAATAATTATTGAATGCATTTTTTTTTTTTGGTGCCAGGTACTTATTGAGGACTTCCTGTGTGTTATTTCCTTTAGTCCTCACAAGTCTGTGAGTTATAGGAACTGTTACTGTTTTCCATTTTATAGAAGTGGAAACTAAGGTTCAAAGAGGTTAAGTCACTTGCCACAAGGTGACAACAACTGAAACGGTCAAAAAGCCTGGATCTGACTTCAGTGCTCGCACCACTGCACTGTCTTTCTGAAGGAAGCTGCTTCCTAAGTCAGTTTGGGCAGACTTTCAACTTGGTTGAGTCTCTCTGCCTGATGGGGCATCTTTACCCGCCAGCCAGCCAGGGAATGGTAAAGGTTCACAGATTCCTTTGAAGTATCTGGGAACTGCCCAGGTTCATTGTTGAGGTTAAAAGGCCATTGGGTGCTTTTGGAAACCTGAGCTGCCTGTCCTGGATCAGGCAGATCAGCTTAATCCATATTACAGTCTGAGGAACCTGGCAATTTGCAGACTGCTGTGGGGCTTAGAAGATCCCAAAATGACTTGGAAAAGAGTGTCATAAACAGCTAGTGCTCACCCCAGTGCTTGTGATGTTCTTCATTTGGCTCTGATAGTAAGCATCTTGGGCCTTAGGTACAGAACAGCTCATTCCCTGAGGGAGTTCACAGGCTGGTGGGGGAGACAGCCATAAAGCCAGTGACTGTACAGCAGGACAAGTGCTGGGAGCTCTGTAGTCAGGGTTCTGTAGGAACCCTTGGAAGCTTTCTGGGGGAGGCAACACCAGAGCAGAGTCTTCAAGGACAGAGCCATCATGTGGGGCCGCAGGATGTGGGAGGGGGACCCTGGGGTTTGTGGAGTATCAATGTGGTGCTGGTGGTTGTAGGAAATAAGATTGGAGGTAGAACGGGGCTTGGGCTTCATCTGACACGAAGGGTGACCAACCATCCCGGTGTGCCTGGGACTGAGGGATTTCCCAGGACATGGGACTTTCAGTGCTAAAACTGGGAAAGTCTTGGTCACCCTAATATACTCTTAGCTTGACCTGGGGCAGTGTGGGTGGAGAGGAAAGATTAAGATAAAGAATTTAGATTTTTTTTTTTAAAGGTTTTTTTGGACATGAAAAGCACCTAGGAACCCTCCCCGTTTTAAAAATAGACTTTATTTTTAAGAACAGTTTGAGATTTAAAGAAAAATCGAGAAGATAGTACAGAGAGCGGTAATTGCTTTTGAACCACATTATTCTTCTAACATTCTCAGCTTTCAAACTGGAAAGGAATCTTTCTGTTAGACAGGGTTCGACTTTGCTAAGTAATGGGAAACTGTGTGCCTGTGGTCCTTGTGTACTGAATCGAGTTAGAGATTCAGTCGAAGCAGACTGAGATAGTAAGAGGTTATTGGCTACATGTCACGGGTGGTTTATTGCCCAGACTAGTAGCAAGGCCGTGACACTGACTAACAAATGCCCACCAGCAAGCAGAACCTTTACTGAGATGGAGTTGTGTGATTGCTTCTGAAAGATCACCTTTAGCAGGAACCGCAAGTCCACAGATTGGTAGAACTGTTTTGGTGTTGTGTTGTGCTGTCCCCTTAATTCTGATTACCTTTATGTGTGGGTCAAGATTCTTGGTTGTGAGTGACCGAAACCCAGCTGGAATTGCCTTATGCCCCAAACAGAACTGATTGGCTCCTGTCCCTGAGCGGTCTGTCCTAGCTAAGCCATGGCCAAGTCCAGGTGTTCAGACAAAGCTGTCAGCATCTGTCTCTTTCCAGTTCTTGTCTCAGCTTTCTTCTGTGTTGTTGGTGTCATTCTCAGCAGGCTCTAGGCTTACATCGTATCAGTCTAGCAATCCGTGGGAAAAAGAGCTTTTTCTCTAAATATTGTCCAGAAGTGAGTATAGTTGGACCAACCTGGGGTCTCATGCCTGACCCTGAGCTAGTCACTGTGGCCAGGGGTATGGGGTGCTCTAATTGGCCCTTGCCTGGAACTGGGGCAGCATCAGCTCCTCCCAAGCTAGTGGACAGAGAATGAGAGAAAGGGGTGGTTTCCCCTGGGAAAATCTGGGGTTCTTACCCAAAGAGAAGGGGAATGTGTATCTAGCAGGCAGATGATCACCTGTTCCCGGTTTAGTCAACCTTTGCCTAAGATAGCACTGATTTTTTTTTTTTTAAAGATTTTATTTTTTTTTGAGAGAGAGAGAGACAGCGAGAGAGGGAACACAAGCAGGGGGAGTGGGGGAGGGAGAAGCAGGCTTCCCGCGGAACAGGGAGCCCGATGCAGGGCTCGATCCCAGGACCCTGGGATCATGACCTGAGCCGAAGGCAGAAGCTTAACGACTGAGCCACCCAGGCACCCCAGCACCGATTATTTTTAAGGGTATAGTATTGCCAGACTAATTTTTTTTTTTTAAGGATATCATATTCACCATTTCACTTATAATGAGCCCGAGGCACCCATTATGTCAAGTCCAAGTTCTTCCATCCAGGCCTTCAGAGTGCTCTAGACTCTGTTGCCATCCTTCTAGTTTTGGAGCACAGGTGAGGGCCTTCTAATGCAGGCTAGGGAGTCAGGAGCATCCTTGGTAGGCAGACACCCATTTAAAGGGAGGTTTAAAAGATGAGAGGTGTGCCAGACTATAGGGGGGAGGGTGGACGCGGGGATGCTGTAGGCAGAGGAAACAGTGATTGAGAGGCCTGGAGGAGAGAGAGAGAAAGAGGGGCTCAAGTCATTCAGCAAGGGCTTGCATATGGGGGCAGGGGGAAGTGTAGGACCCCAGAGCAGATCGATGAGGCAGGAGAGGTCACAAAGAACTCTCCTTAAATCACATTAAGGAATTTGGACATCAGGCTGAGAACAATGGGCAGCCCTTGAAGGTTTTTTGTTTGTTTTTTTTTAACAGCAGTACCGTGGTCCAACCAAAATTTGCAGGGTAGGTTGGGGGAGGGCCCAGCAGGAGGTGGGCATCCAGTTGGACCGCTGCGGCCTTCTGGGAAGTGACGGTGGCCGCCTCCCCTAATCCAGGGGTGTTTCTTGTGCTGCTTCACCTTGATGGGCCTCCTGTCTCACTCTCTGTGACACACACCTCACATGCCCACCTGTCTGCATCTTTGCTCTCTCCACTTGAGCTCTCCTCTTCCTGCCCATCCAAATGCCCACTGTATTA